GTGCGTAGAAGAGGGAAAAGTGGAGAATCTTCAACACGTCTACAATTTAGGATGCGAATAAATTAGTTGCGACCTCAGGTTTGCCAGGTAACTTCTCCTACCCACTAATTTGCAAAGCGCTTCCTCCAACTGTGACTCCTCCACAAGTTCGGCTTCTCTCTGATAATCTTGTAACACGTCTAGGAGTCACACATGAAAGTAAATATTGAAACATGGCAATGGGCCACCCCCCAGCATAATCGGAGTGAATAAGTGGGATAAAAGTGCAGCACAGAGGCAGAAGAGGGCAGGAGAGATGGCAGTGAGATCTGGGAAAAATATCGCTTTGTTATTAAATGCATACTTTTCAGAAAATGCACATTGGGAGCAGCAGAAAGCAAACCGAACATTACAGCATAACTGTTCTATTTTCTACTGCTGGTTAAAGAAGGTGCAATTTGTAGACAGCTTTATTTGTGTGGAATGTCTCGGCCACTACGGGCTTGTATTTTGAAGGCAATACATCACTCACCGATCATTCATTTTTCAATTCACAACACTTATTTCCATTATTAGTGGAAAAACGTTGATAATCAAATAAACAAATTTTGTCACTTTTGCTTCATTTAAATGGAAATAGCCTTCTGATGGTTGGAGGTGGAGCGGCAGAACAATGAAAGAAGTTGTCCGATACAGCAAGCGCTGATATTTGTGAAATGTTAGAAGGCATTTTACCACGCTCTGCTCTGCATGCAGTAGCCAAAATGCGGGTGGCAAACACAATCCAATCATTTCTTAATTCACCCATTCATAGTTAATCAACAAATTCAACTGATTAACTGCCTCCTTCTTCTGGCATGGACATGTCCATATACCTTCCTAGGCATTCAACCCTTCATCCACTTTCATGCATCAAGCCGACCGCTTTCAAGCCCCCATCCGTCCTCTACCTATCGAATGTAATGCATCCAGTAATTTATGACTATCTTTAACTAATTTGCCTCCATTTACCAACCGTTTTACAAGAGCACAGTTGAAAAGCTTCCAGGCTGATTTTCACCCCCATCCGTCTGCAAGTCCACTTATTACGAGACTAACAAAAAAAAAACAAAAAATGGAAGCGATTGTTGCAAGTTTTCGACCCATGATAATATTTTTGAGCAAAAATGAGAAAAATATGAGGTCTTCTGTTCCGACAAGTAGCCTGCATATTTATTGCTGCATCCACGGAGGGTAAATACATTCCTACTTAAGAACC